CTGAGCCAAACTGGCCAGGGCCCCTTTCATATACTTTTGCTCAACCCACTTAGAAAGGAAAGGGAAAAAAGTGAGTGAGAAAGCAGGTATCTGGTAAAACAACATAATTGCTTTAGCTCTTACATGCATTTCTTTAGGTCAAAGGGCAAGTGCAGATTCAAAAATATTCGTGCTTGTTCTGAGCAACATACCATAGTTAACTTCTTGAAATAACTTACCCTTTTTGATACAAGTTGGAACACCTGGCACCCATTTGTTATTGAAATGACACCTAATCAAATCACTGCCTTTCATGATGAAACCAGGGTTGCAGGCAACCTGTACAATGTCATTGTGGAAATATGACAGACGAGTTTGATTTAGCTTGTATCCATGTTTGATTTCTGGGTTAGGGCAGTGGGTCACAGGAGGAGATTTTTTGCACTGTGGAAGAGGTCTGCTCCAAGATCCATTTCCTTTAGAATCACTTGTGCATCGTATCTTTTTCTCCCCGAGAAGAGAGTATCCCTGGTCACATTCATAAGAGATTTCCATTCCATATAGAAAGCGTTTTGCCATCACACCTGTGTGTCTCCCATTGTCAATCACTGGTGGAGGCTGACAGTGAATAGCTGCAGAAAAGATTTAGGAAATTCTGCTTCAGCTAGTGTACCAAGGTGGATAATCATCATTCAGATACAAATAAAACTATCTAACTGTATATATTGCACACAACCATAACATTATTTAGATTTACAAATGGCATTGTGTTTTCATCAATAACAGTTTTATTAATTTCTGATTATATGAGTCATACATATTTGTTCCAAATAATTTAAAAATAAAATAGAAATCTAGGCTATATTTGTTGCATTTTTTAAAAATATTGAGCAGTTAGCAGATGTATGCTAAATATTCACTTCCTACTTGACAACTTTGCTTCCCAGTGACAGTGCTGACCACACTGTGAAAGATATGTCTTATCTTAGATCCACTGAGACAGAACACATAGACTGTTGAGGTAATTATACACTAGTTCTTAGGTGGCCTGCCCCCTATAACTCCCTACTACCCCACTGAAAACTTTAATTTCTATCTCACCTTCACAGAGTGGAATCCCTTGGAACCAAACCCCATTCCCAGCATCTTCACACTCCTGATAAGTATGCCCAGTCAGCCGGTACCTAGAGAAAGAGTATAATATAATTCTCCTTCCCACTGTCACATCTCTAAAACCTTACCTCCTCACACCACTAATAGAGGAACTCCTACATAAGAAATTCAGTAGGGAGGAATTAAAACCCTTGGCCCTCCAAGTGAGAAAACTACTTTAGATTAGTTGCTCACAGCAAAGCTAATTCCATGTCAAGAAAGAACTAAAAAGTCAGATGCTGCTTAGGAGACCTTTAGAAGCTCATATTCTCAGGGAGTGTTGCAATGAGGAACTCTAAAGAGAGTCACCAAGACAAGTTGAGAGTGGAATTAATGCACAAAACAAAGTGGAGACCCTCTCTGTACGGATCATCTCATACTCACCCATCTTGACAGGATGTATTAACTGGAATCACATGCGAACCAACTGGAGGCTCTTGAATATTTTTTCTCACAGGTTGACATAGTGCTTCTAGAGGAGAAAAGTTAGAATTACTTACACATGCCTGATACCAAAGAGAAAGGCAACTCTAGAACTGAAAGTACCTTCACACCGAGGGGCAGAAGGACTCCAATTTCCTGAAGGCATACAGTGAATGGATTTGTTTCCCACAAGCAAGTAGCCAGGGTCACAAGTGTAGACTACAGTCATCCCAGAGACAAAGAGGACCCTATTTCCACCTGTATGCTGACCATGGTGGAGCTTAGAAGGTGGCTGGCAGTCTGAAGAGAAAACTTCCCACATAAATACCAACAACACAGGAATTTATACTCAAGAACATTAAATGTACAACATTTGACAACAATCTTAAACATTTAAGACAAAGACTATAAAGTTGTAATGCATTACTAAATGTTTCCTGCTGTTTTGAAAGAACTAGGCATCTTTAAACAGCTCTTCTCATTATCTACCTTGAATATATTCTAGATACAAGAGGCATTTACACAAAGAACATATATAAAACATATAGAACATTGTTACAGATGGAAGAAATGGGATAGTCATCTGTGCCCTGTTGACTTTTCCATGACCCTACTCTTGAGTGGGAGATAAGAATAATAAATACCTTTTGTTCCCCATTGGGTATTTTACCTTTTACACAAATGGGTATTTCAGGATCCCAGGTGCTATTGGCTTTGCAACGGATCTGACTGCTGCCCTTCAAAGTAAAGCCATCATCACACTTGAATGTCACACTGTCGTTGTAGAAATACGGCGCTTCTTTGCCTGATACCTTGTATCCATTTGCAACCTGAACATGTGAGCACTGAACAGCAGGGAGGGACAGTTTACAGAGCGGAGCAGGGCCACTCCAGGTGCCCCTCCCTTGACTATTGCTTGTACAATTGATGGCGCTCTCCCCAATGAGGCTGAATTTTACTCCTTCCTCTGGCCCAGGGTTACATGTGTAAATGACAGTGGTTCCATATGAAAAGTCTTCTGAGGAACTCCCTGTGTGTGTCCCATTGTAGATAACAGGGGGTGGTGGGCAGGTAATTTCTGGAGAAAAGAGAAGTGACGATATAATTTTGTTCCAGTATTAGACACCAAGGAAGAGACATGAAGCTGGTTATGAACCCGTTGTTATCCCTTTTCCTGAAGGTTACGGGAAAGTTTTGATGATATGAATTATACCAAAGCTCATGAGTGTAAACTTCAATTTAACTGGTTTCATAGGAAAGATTTTTGTAATGGGAATCTTTGTTAAAATTGAAGATGTACATCGACATCATATTGTGAGGCAGTAAGGACCAGTAGATTATTAATTAAAAGAAGACTTATTTTAAAAAATAAACAACAGGAAAATAAAAGGCACAAAGGCACAGAATTAAGCTGTTTTTGAGTGCCATCCTTGTGCTGAAGCGACATGATAGTTTAGCAAGACTATTGTTATCTATTTTTTAATAAGCAATTTTCTCACTTACAAAGTAGAGATAATCCCATTTCATATAATAACATTTAAGTCTGCAGTCTCATGTTGAGAGGCTAGAGTTTCAGTTACATAAATCATCCAAGATCATCTGAAGCAGTAGACACAGAATAAGAGATCGGATCCCACACCAATCTCCTTTCCTCCACTAAACTACAGTGTACCCCAAATTAAGCAAGATCAGCTCATATACTCACTGCTCTTATAATCTTGTACACCTAAATCACAAAAGAGGATTAGTAACTAAATACATTTAAACTAAGTGGTTGCTATGCTTTCAAGTTGATAGAGGTGGCAGTAGAAAGACAGCAAAACTGTTGACACAGTTAAAAGGAACAGAGTCTAATATTCTTATTCCCACAACATAGCCTATAATAGAAATCTCCCAAGTCATGCATAGGTCTCAGATTATTTCAGGTTCAGTTATTTTTGCTACTCACCGTTACAAAGACGCGTCTCCACATACCAAGGAATGGTGCCTTTACACAGTTCATAAACACTCTCACCTAACAGGTACCTAGAAATAGAATCATGTCATTTTGCCATCTAGTGACCACTAAGCTAAGCAAGAGCTATTGGACCACTTTCAGGACAGGAAGCAATAGGGACAAAAATGTACCCAGCATCAGCTCCATCACCCGCTGCACAGGCATAGTTCCTATGCATGGAAAAATAGCACAGTCAGCACTTCTGTGAACACGGGACAGGGAGGGGTCTTTGAGGCCAACTCTTACACAGAGCTCACACTTTGCACTGACGAGCCAGACCTAGTTCAGGCTGGGCCAGCACTCACTTACCCTTCACCGCAAGAAGAGTTAACAGCTGGTCTAATAAAGTGACCCTGGGGTTTGTTATAGAGATATTTTCCTGTAGATTCACACCGTGCCACTGAAAAAAGAGACTAGGATGAGATATGAACTCAAGGCAATCTCACAACCACAAGACATCTGCGTGCGAAGTCTGGCACCTTTGCATTTGGGGACAGTGGGTGTCCACACCCCTTCAGGGCTACAAAGTACGGATTTTTCTCCCACCAGCACATAACCAGGGTCACAGCTGTATTTTATGGATGTTCCAGGCTCAAAGTGGATCCTGTGTCCATCTTCCTTTTGCCCATTGAGGATTTTAGGAGGGGCTTGGCAAGCTAAAGGAAAAGAAGAAAAATTTTCATATATAAACAACAGCAACAGGAAGAAACAGCCAAAGAAATGGGCTTTAGTGCTATCATTCCTCTCTAGCAGCAGTTGTATGGTACAGAAGGTACCTAGCAGCCCATGTGGGGTAATTTTAGATCAGTGGTTCTCAACCTTTTTCTCTTTCCTGCATTCAAGCTGCTGCAGATTTTGATCAGTTCCCAATGGGTGCTTTACCTCTTGTCTTGTCTCTTCCTTTCTTAAGGAATCACCTTGTATGCTTTCAAGGGGGAGATTCTAATATAACCATTGGGTGGGGGCTTTGCTGACTTCCCTTTTAAGACATCAGTATTAGGACAAACAAGCATTTTCCCCCTAAAGAAATGGGTAACTTAGTGTTCCCTAATGTTATTTTCCCTAAGGATACTCCCACAAAATGAATAAATGGTGGGGGTAGTGTAAAACAGCATTCTATTTAATTTATAAATGCTATATGTGTTTAGTAGAATTGGAGGGACTAGAAAATGAAAAGGACCAGCTTAAGTCCAAAACCCCTTCCTCCAATTCTTTGAAAAGATGAATCGGTAGAACCTTTTCTTGGTATTGGAACACTCACCCTTTTCACAGACTGGTGCAGATGGCTCCCATTTGCCTTGGGCATTACATTGTATTCTCTTGCTACCTTTCATGGTGAAGCCAAAGAAGCAAGCAAATACCACAGTGTCATTATACAAATATTGGTCTTTCTGCCCAGACAATATCTGGCCTCTAAGGATGTGGGGAGGTGGACACCGAATCCCAGAACTGGAAAGTTCGCATCGTGGGGCAGGGCCACTCCAGGTCCCAGTCTTCTGACTATCAGTGGTACAACGGATAGTGTTCTCCCCAATCAGGATGAAATCCACTCCTTTCTCTGGGCCCGGGTCACAAGTGTAAGTGACTGTGCTTCCATATGGAACATTCGCTGAAGTGTTGCCTGAATGTCTTCCATTGAGAATATCAGGAGGTGGTGAGCAAAGAATTTCTAGAGAAATTACAGAGAGAAATGACAAGACTGCAGCTGTACTGCAAACAAAGAGCCTCCAACTCGAAACCACACTCATCTCCTGGGTCCAGGGACCTAGGATATTTGAATCACTAATGAGTCCATCAAGGCAGCTGCAGCAATAAAACTCAACAAGTATGGTTTATTCCAGAATATATCTAATTCTGCTGATACTTGGATTTCTTTTTTTTTTATCCACACCAGAGGATATTTTTCCATTTTTTGTACAGATAGAGTGGGAGGGAGAGAGAGGAAGGGAGAGAGAGAGAGAAACATCGACGTGAAGGGACACATCGAGTGGCTGCCACCCGCACGACCAACCAGGGCCGGGGACAAACTGCAACCGAAGTACGTGCCCTTAGCGGGAACCGAACCCGGGTCTCTCTGGACCGCAGGCCGACGCTCTAATCGCTGAGCCAAACTGGCCAGGGCTGGATTTCTTTTACTGAATATATTATCTATCTCCCTTAAGTGTGTGGCCTGGCTTACAAGCCTACTTAGCTTTTAGAGAAAGAAAGGCCTATGGATCCAGTTTTACTTCAATAAGCAGAGAAGAGGTAACTGAAGGGTGTTTCCATGATAACCGTTAAAGATGCCTAAGAGAGATATTTGCTCTGTAAGGTTCTGTATAGTAACGACTAAATCGAAGGATTTTAGTTAAAAGAATTCAGTGTCCTATTGAGCCTTGGACAATGATCTAGTTGCAAACCACAGATGCATAACCTACCTTTACATACTGGCATCCTGGTCCATAAAGCTTTCTGTTCAACAATTACACACCGACTAGAAGGTTGGCCTTGTAACTGATACCTGAAGACAGAGGGTAGTCATTCAGAACTATTAGGCAGTTGGTGATATGGATCAATAACCTCTACTTAAAGTCCAAGACAAATTCATTTAAACTGTGTGCATCAACTCTTATCTGCATTCTTTCTCACAACCTTACACCAGGCTCTCTGCAGATCCTCACAGGTCACACCATGCACAGAGAAGCCCAGTGAAACAAATCTCATAGGTCCTCCAGACACTCACCCTTCATTACAGGAAAAGTTCACAGTTTGACCAACCCGACGACTTGGAGGCCCCTCTGTCTTCCCATTGAGAAGTTGTCCTGGAGGTTCACACTGTGCCTCTAAGGAAACAAGCCCAAGATGCGCAAAGCATGGCAAATAACGGAATAGCCTAATTTCTGAAAATGGATTCTAAATTTAGGCTACCTTCACATTTTGGAATGTCATCACTCCAGACTCCTGAAGACAAACAACGAATGGTCTTTTTTCCAACAAGCAAGTAACCAGATTTACAGCTGTAAGTCACAAATAATCCAGGGACAAAGAGGTCAACATTCTTTCCTGTGTGATGTCCATTGGGGATCATGGGAGGTAGTGGACACTCCAGTGGGAAATCTTTACACACACATTAGAAAAAAAGGCGATCAGATGATACATCCTTCACAATCTAGATTTTGACATAGTACATAGATCCAAATAAATGACACAATCTGTAGTAAACAATCATAAATTTTCAACTCAATTTTTTAAAGATCAAACAAGTGTGATTTAATTATATCCATATTATACCACAATTAGCACATTATTTTTCATTTTCAGTTACACTTTATAATTTTGAAAAGAATTTTATTTACCCAAAATAGTCTTTTGCACAATACTCTCATCCTATTTCTTACACCTTTTTTTTTGCTCCAAAAGTAGCATATTATTAGGGAGTTTTCCTGCTAGATATAGCTAGTAAATAGTATATAGTTTGTATATAGTTTTATGGGATCCTATATGTAATATATGTATACATATATATTGGGTGAGTATATATGTACTCACATCTTATTCTATGCCTTTATTAGTTTAACACTGTTCACGATATTTTCCCATGTCAATACATACAGGTCTACCTAAGTCTTTATAAGGGCTTAATTATTTTCTAGAGTTACCTCATGTAGTGACTATATTCATAGCTTCCTTATCTCCAAGACTATATATCTAGTTACAAATAAAGAGAGAATCATATTTTTGTAATAATGGTTCTCCGAGCTTGTTGATTTAGAATTGATTGATACTGTTCTTCACTAAGAAAATAAATAGCTAATTTTGATGGTAAACATTTGTTAAACATGACAGTCCCTGTAATTTTATGATTGATATCCAGATTTAGATTTCAGCAACAACATAAACCTAACTAAATAAAAATGAAAGACTTATAGTAATCCTTACTTCATTTTTCTGCTTCCTCATTCCTTGTTATTTCTATTTATTTTTAACTTCATTTAAATTGTTGACACTATTACTGATATCCCCATTTTACTTTTAAAGTCGTTTGATTTGAAATGTTGTCTGAGGAGATGACTCGGGAAAATAGTGCATCACTTCAGAAGGTGATTATAGAGGCCTCATAAAACAGGGCATCATTTCTGCCAGCCTGTATTAACAGCTATTTACAGATCAGTTTTAAATCCACTTAGGTGAAGTCTATTAGCAAAAATACACCCTTCTTCTCATTTTAACATTAACTCAGATACAGTTTAAACTCACACAATTCACCCAGCACCAACAAACTCTCACTTATTCAATTATTAGGTATGTTCAATTCCTTTTTCTCATCATGCTTTAACATTTTTTGTTCTACTGATGTTTGTTAAGTGAACATTCATACCCTTTGTGACAAAAAACTAAATAAACAAAACAGGAAACCCTAATTTTCACCCTTTGTCATGCTTCCTGCCTCACCCAGCCTTCGCACATGGACACTGTTCTTTGTGCAGGACAGCACACGCTTTGCCCTCACAGAAATGCAAGGGTCCATCCTGCCACCTCAGTTCAATTTCATACTCACCGCTCTCACAGATTGGCACTGGTGTCGGCCCCCATTCTCTATTTGCTTGGCACCAAACGGTCTTGTTTCCTTTCATGGTGAAGTTGGCATTACAGGTAAATGTCACAGCATCACCGTGTCTGTATGGTGGTCTAGATATTTTATCTTTGTGTCCCCCTGCTACTCTGGGCTCAGGGCAAGAAATAAATCTGTTGAAATGTTCACATTTGGGAGGAGCTTTATCCCAGATTCCTCTCACGTGGTCTTTAGTTGTACAAAACAGAGTCTTTTCTCCAATGATGCGGAAGTTAACGGAGCAACTGTACCTCACCACTGTTTTAAGAGGTACAGGTTCAGAATAGTAACTAGGTCGGCCATTACTGATAGAAGGAGGAGGGTCACAAGAAATCCCTAAAAATTAGAAAAGGAAATATGTGGCATTATTGATTATGATAACAAAAAGATTGCAATTTAGATTAAAAGTCCAAATATAGGTTATGTCACTTTATCAGAAACAGGTTTAGAATTTCATATAACTTATTTCTTACTCATAGTCCCTACTTATCCCCAAGCTCCTAAATTCTTACCTTTCTCTTGATCCTCAGCCAAAAAATCAATAAAGGGCTTATTAGCACCATCTTGACCACACAATGACAATGAAACAAAATTTATTAAATAGTTCCGAGTCTAATAGATTTTAATAGAACAAAAGGTAAACAGCACATGAAAGTATTATGTTAATGACATGCTAATCACATGTTGGGAGGCACTGTGGACGAATGAAATGTGGACTCAGTAGACCTGGTTTCGAATCCCCACTGTCATTCAATAGCTGTGTGACTTCAGGCAAGTCTTACCCTCTCTAAGCCTCAGTTTCCTAGTCTATTATATAAATCAAGCTACTTCATAAGGTTGTAATGAGACTCAGAAATAAAAGTACCTGAAAGGAAAAAGTACAACACCTGAAACTTACAAATTATTCGATGCCTGTTTCAAACACACAACTGGGGCTACAAGTGATGAAAGTACATTCTGTCCCTCTACTAAAGGACTGCAGCCTCACTACAGTCATTTTTTACCCTTTGATGCTCCACCCCTTTGAAAAAGCCACAGGACGTGATCAAGAGTGTAGAATAATGACCTCATATCCTTTATATACTTGTCACATCGTTAATTATTTATAGCTGGGTTGGTATAGGCACAGCTTTCCTGAGTGAGTCTCAGAACAAAAGGGAAAGTGCCAGCCTCCAGAGCTGCTGGCTGATTCCCAGTTAGCTCCAAGAGTTGCTCATCAGTAGAGGAACTGGGATAAGAACACATGGCCAAACCATTTTAGTAGAGCAGTGCTACTCAGTTTCAGTAGTAATAACTTTCCAGAGCCTTTATCTTAATATAAATAGAATACTCAAAACAATATGTAGTCACTGAATAAATTTAGTTTTGGTCTGCATTCCAGAACCTACAGAAGATGTTATAATTGATAAATGCATGAGAACACACCAAAAATCAAGAGGCAAGAGTCATACTTATTTTTGCTTCTACTCACGTTCACAGACAGGAAACTTATTATTCCAGAGTACTCTCATTCCTTCTGAGACACACAGACTAGAAGATTTGCCATTTAACCGGTACCTTAAACAATAAGGGTAGCAAATCGTCACCAGAACAAACCAATTCTCAGTTGCATGGACTTAATCACTTCTCTCAAGTAGGTGGTATTAATGAGATCTATTATTTTCAGCATTTTAGGCTTAAGAAAAAAGTCCAAGATTGTTTGTAAATCAGTTCATCTATGGAATAACTTCAGACCAGTTAAAAAGACAGAAAAAAAAATCTAATGATCACATATTTTTAAAAATTTATTCCTTTTCTATTTGGCATCCAAATGTCAAGATTCTCTTGACCATGTAGAAGGAAACACAAACAAAGAAAAACAACTCAAATTAAAGTGAAGAAAATATCAATGATCTTGTTCCCTAAGCTCACCCCAAAGAGACCCTCTTCCTAAACCCCCATCTTCTATTCATCTCCATAAGAGAAATCTTAACATGTGATCCCAAACTTTGATTTTTCAGTTGATACATGGATAATTCCCAGAGTTGGCTGGTCATGCACAATGCATAAACTTAAAGAAAACCAATAGGATTTGGTTAATAACAGAATTCTTAATCATAAAAGGTTAAAAAAAAAAAGAGGAGGAGGAAAAGCATCAGAGTGAGGAAGAAACATTAATTGTCTTTACAGATTACATTTTGCAATGTGTAGCAATGAGTCATAGGTCTCAGTTCAGGCCCTGTCACCTCAAACTCACCCCTCATCACAAACAAAGGAAACCTTTGCCCCAAGCTGGAGATTAGGAGGAGCCACCACATGGCCGTTGAGAAGGTGGTTTGGAATGGCGTCACATGATTTCACTAGGAAAAAGAGACAAGGCTGGCACATGAAGAGTCAGGAAACAGCTGAGTTTCCTTAAGATGGAGCAGAGCTTCAGGCACCTTCACATTTGAGGGCAGTATGACTCCAGGTCCCCAAGGATGTGCACTGTATAGGGTTAGCTCCAAGAAGAGTGTAGCCAGCCTCACAGCTGTAGGACACTTCCTGTCCAATTGCAAAAGATTCCTTATGCATTAGATTATAAGAACCATGGTGGATATGTGGAGGTGGTAGACACCCTGAGAAAAGAACAGGACCAGAGGCCTTTTATTTCTGCAATAAGAACTTTCTTCTCTACAAGCTAAGCCAACTTAGAGTTCTCAGGGGTGGGATGAAGGTTGTCACATTAACTCCCCTAAATGTAAAGCAGAGACTCATTTGGTGAGGTGGCATGGGCTAACAGGCATTACTGTTTTTAGACATGATGAACCAGGCAACCATCTGCCCTGTGTCTCTTGACTTGTACCAGGAAATATATCCAGTCATCATCGTCTACTTCATTTAACTAAAATGAACTTGATTATCCTCTCATTATTATTGGAGTCAAGGGAACCAAACTTGGGCAATACATTATCACCACCAAAATCTAACTCATTTTTCCTGCTCCCCAAACCAAGTTGATGAAGGTTCTGAACCTTGTAGGAGGGGCTCACAATATTGACAGGTTTTTGTGAGTCAGGTATTTCTTAGTAAGAGTAGGGAGAAAGGAGAATGTGGGGAGAGACTCAATCTTAATTCTAGCCTTATTGCATAAAGACTACATTTTTTCAATATGGGAATGTATATATATAAATATTTGAATCAAATTCTGATATCAACAAATTTCCCCCAGTTGCTTGGCCAATAAGACTGAGAATAAATTTTATCTTCATTTAAATAAAATATAAATATATTTTAGAAAAGTCTCAGCTACTTGGCTCTGGTACTATCTGCCTTTTTAAAAAAGCATCTTCTAAACTCCCCTACATTAATGTAGATCTAACACTATTCACTGTTCCAGGATATAGTAAATTTCCTACCTCTCCAACATTTAGAAGTCACTTTCAAATTATTTAGCCAGGATACCCAACCACATCTACTACCTTTCTTCTCCTCTTCTCATAGCCACCATGTATCTACTCAACTAAAAGTCTTATTTCATTTATAGATACCAAATTTTCAACCCAACTCACCCTTGAAGCACCTTGGCAGTGGAGGATTCCATTTATTGTTTGGTTGGCACCATATCTTGTTGCTGCCTTTCATGGTAAAGCCAGGCTTACACTTAAACATCACAGTATCATTTAAGAAAAATGAACGTCTATATCCAGATTCCATAATCCCATTTTCAACTTCTGGAGTTGGGCATTTGACTATATCAATACACTGAGGAGGAGGGCTGCTCCAGATGCCAACTCGATTGTCTTTGCTGGTGCAATATATTGACTTCTCACCCACAAGGTCAAACAGCTTTTCCCCATTCTTTCCAACATGGCATTTATAAGTCACCACCAATCCATAGTAAAAATTATCTCCACTGCTGCTAATAAAGGTCCCATTAGAGATGGCTGGGGGTGACTCACAAAGAATAGCTTTTAGGGGTCAGATGGAAAAAGAAAGAAGACATTTAAATGTTATAGCTTCTGGTTATTTTGTTTTCAGCCTTGTAAACCAACTTCTAATTCAGCCTACAACTAATTCATTTTGTTGAAATTGTTCATCTTTATCTCAAAGATGGTTATCAATAAAAAGTAGCAAGGCAGGAAGATGCATAGAACTTCCTTGATGAAACCTCAAAAAAACCTATACTGATCACATGATCCCATCCCAAGAATATAGGTAAACTTTTATAGGAGGCACCTGGGATGACCTACATTTTTCATGGAATAATCTTGGCAGTGTGTAATCTCATGGCATATTTTAAATTTAAACCCTTATTCACTATGAAATAACTTATCATCAAAGAGGAGAAATCAAAGGACTGGGTGGGATTAGAAGAACATAAAGTAACCACAGTTCTGTGCCCAGAACTTCTCAAACCAAGTATAACTTGTCTGAGCACTCATTTTATTGGTAGGTGCCTGATTTTCCTCTAGATAAGGATACAAGAGGAATTACATAGGATGCAATAAAGGGATCATTTTACTCACAGTCACAAAGAGGCATGTCCTTATCCCAGATTACAGTATTGCCTGAGATAATACATTTGGCAGATGAGTAACCAATGAGTCGATACCTAAAGACAAAGAGATGAGTGATCATCTCCCAGCTAGATGTACACTTGAGGAAAGCTTAGTTCTTTGTGCACTGAAAGGATGGAAAAAAATAGAATATCATGTTTGACAAGGAACAGTGGTAGACTGAGGACTTATACAAAAGGCTGAAGAATCTAAAGCCAAATAAAATTTGCCTTCTTGGCAGTAACAGTAGAGATTTAAAATGGGAAGAAGGGGAGTAGCCCCTTCCTTTCTCTTAGAGGGATCGTCTTTAGTGGGTAATCCTGAAAGGTAGTCTCTAGAGCATTTCAGGTAGGTGGTTCTCTGTTTGCTTATCTATTTTGAAGGGTAGGTGGCAATTACTCAGATCTCTCTTGGAAGACTGCTGGTTTCTGGTTGAAAGGACTGCTGTAAAACCCAGGTAACCTGGAGATATCTCCTGTCTACTCACCCTTTATCACAAGAATATGTAATTGTTGACCCAAACTCCATACCCATGGGTATGGAAACAGAGCCATAGAGGAGTTCTCCAGGACTAACACATGATTTACCTACAAGGGAAAACAAAACAAAGCAGGATTTGGGACTGAAATTTGGGGGAGCTTTTGTGTTTTACATTAAGTCCCAACTGTCCAAACTTGCTGACTGGTTTATTTACGTTTATTCAAAGTAATTGAGTCTATATTTTGAGTGTGCAGGCAAACGTTATTTGTGGTCAACCATAATTATAATCTCTATTTTCCCTTTGTATATTCTGTCAGGTGATGGCATCATCTACCAAATCTTGTGGCTTAAAAACAAAAAAACTTACAGTCATCACTTCCTTTCTGTAACTCATTCTTTATCTCTTGCCCTTCATTCAGTTGGTCACCAAATTTTAGTGACTGAATTTCTAAAATCTCCAAACCAACTATGCTGTCACTGCTTTAATCTCTCATTTGATCACTGAGTAACAAAATTTACCTTTCTAACTCTGGTCTCCATCTTCTATGAACATTTACCACTGCACACATTATTTTTCAGGAGCATAAATGTGGTCATGCCACTACCTACATTTAAAAACTTACAATGGCTTACTGTTGTTGATTGGAAAAGAACTCATGGTCTGTCACTGTTAAGCTCCAATCCCCTTCATCAACTACCATTTCTCAACATTTACTTTATACTGTAACCATACTGAATTTTTCTGTTTTGTATAAACGTAATGTTCTTTCATACCTTCATGCTTTTGCATAGGCTGTTCCCTCTGCTTGGAATGCCTAGATTTCCCTAATTCTTTGAACTAACAGTTATTATTTACTTCTCCATGATCTCATAGAAATTTATCTCTATGAATAAGTGAAATTACATCATAGTACAGTATTTGTTCAAAGTCAGTCTGTACAATTAGTATAGGGATTCTTCACAGGAAGGGACTAACAAACTTTTACGGTTCTCTCTGGCCCCATCATCTAGTCTAAAGCTTTACACCTAGTAGTTACTCAAAAGCATTTTTTTAATTAAATGGGCAAAAATGAGGTGAAACTAATATTCCTTGCATACTAACTTCTAACCTCACTCTAACACTGTACAAAGAAAACAGAACAAATTCAAAAAGATTGCAGGTAAATAGGATTGGCCAGCTTTATAATTTAACCTCAATATTTAATACCCTTAGGATTAAAAAAAAAAAAAAAACATGGAAAACTCAGGAGCCCCCTTCATTGAGACGACTTACTAATTTTCTGGTTATTTATCATGAAAAATCACAGGTTAGCTCATAGAGGTGCACTAATAGACCTAAAGATGCCTCTATTTCAGATTACTCACGTTTACAGGGTTGCTGAGCATCTGACCACTTGGAGGTCTCTAGACAGGTGATAACGAACGACCCTTTGGAATACCCAGGAAGGCATTCATATTCCCAAGTTGTCCCAACAGCAAACTCAGACTGATCACTCTGAAATTTAGACTTAGCAAAAGGATACCTTGGCAGCAACTTACACTGACCTAGAGACAAAGACCACAGGGATATCAAAAGTAAGAGAGGCTACAACTTTTACTCTGCTTCTGTTCCAGCACTAATTAGTGTCACTGACAACTTTAATCTTTATAAAGTAAATGTAAAATGGGGCAATGATATCTGGGACAAAATCATATCTTTCAATAAGTGTGCATATACAGAGAAATAAGCTCAGAAGTTCAGAGACATTTTAGGATAGACTTCATTGATTTTAGAAAAAGATGGAAAAAATAATTTTTCATAAAATTCCATGAACACCCTGGAGTAGTTCCATCTGCTTACAACCTCATAAATAAAAACTAAAACCTTATAAATAAAGTTTTCCGGGATTGCAAAGGGAACTAAATTACACCAGAGACCTTATAAACTCAGCACATGTATGATTCTCTAAAAATACTTTGATGAATTAACATTACTATTTTAGTCACTAAATATTTAGGTCTTAGCAGTAAAAAAATGTTTATTCATTATTCTTTGTTATTGTATTCCATTAACCAAATGTAGTATTATGCCTTCTAAGAGAGCTTAGAAATTTCTTCCTGATAAGCACTAGATAAAAGGAACTAGTCATTTTAAATCAATTCCCTGTGATTTAAAAAACAATTATAATAATATTAATAATGAAGCAAAATTTATCCTAGGAGAGGGATAAAAATCTGGAATGCCCACATATTTGAGGATATGCCTGGAAAAGTTTTAGCTCCAGAATGGCAGTATGTTTGAATATGAAATGTATAAATCTTTTTTTTCCCCCAAATGAGACAGACAGGTACAGGTGAAAGTCAAAGAAAAAATATGGACTAACTGATACAAAGGCAAACAGAGCTCCCAAGGTTGTAGCCAGACCCAGCCTTTTTGTGAAGAAGTGAAGCCCAACACTTCTGTTGGAGAAGTCATATAGACGAGACTGAGAATACCATCACTCTTGGGACCCAGATTTCACTGTAGGTCTCCTTCTGTTTCTTTCCTGATCTCCATTAGTTTCTTCCATTAACACCTATAAATGTCTCCAAGTGCATGACAGCAAGACTCTGTAGGGAAAGTCAGGGATTGATCAACTTCACGACTATGACATTTCTTGTGCCAATATACTCCAAGCAAGTGATTTAGCCTGCAATTATCTACTGTGAATAAGGACAATACCAAATTACTCACCACAAGCTGGAAAACGAACTTAAGTCCTTAAGATTTAATCATCAGCAACAATACGGAGTAAGATAGAACCAAGATTTTGAAGCAGCAAAAGCAGAAAGGTACTTTATATCATGACCTTCTGAAGTCAAAGGAGATAAGAACCATACTTTTTAGATGGAAAATAATGGGAAATATTATCCCCAATAAGACTCTTGGGGACTCCTTCTGTTTTGGCAGACACTAGCTCTCATTAGTCATGAAATTGCCAAAATCCCAGATCAAAGACAGGATTTTCAGCAATCGTGTTTGTTCCATATCAGAAAATGCTCACAAATCATTAAGTAATACAAATTTTCTTAATCCCACACACATCTTCCTAAAATCCAGAATAGAAATCAGAGTAGATCTTGATTGGATCTAAAATAGAAGATAGTGGCAAGACATTGACATTTACATCCCTTAAACCATGATAAAAACGAATTAGGCAAAGTAGTTTCTAGAGAATAGAGATACATTTAACTTTTTCTTTGGATCCATGGGGCTTTACATAGAATGGCTTAGAAATCCATTTGAAATTAATGAAGAGCAACTATATAGAAAAATAAAAATAAAACCAAAAATTAAGTCACAAAGCAGGTAGGAGAAATCTTATTGAGAATTATTACCATCAAGTGCCTTAATACTGGGTTTCCTATTTGATCGTTTATTATTTTTATCTTTATTAATTTTTGAGAGAGAGAGGAAGGGAGAGGGAGAGACAGAAACATTGATGAGAGAGAACATCAATTGGCTGCCTCCTGCATCCACCCCACTGGGGATTGGGCCCACAACCTGGGCATGTGCTCTGACTGGGAAACAGACTGATGACCTCCTGGTGCATGGGTTGATGCCCAACCACTGAGACACACCAGCCAGCTATTTGATAATTGTTAATGATGGTTATGAATATTAACCAAGGCACTATCCTAAACACAGGAGATGTATCAGTGAACATCCGAGACAAGGATCCCATGGTCACAAAATTTGTATTTCAATAGAAGGAGAAAGATCATAAGTAAATACCATAAAATAAATAGATAGTATGTACAGGAAATGAATAAAATGTCAAAATGTAACGCACATGAAGGACGAACAGGACAAGGTGGCACCCCCCCTTCAGTTGTGATGCTTAAGGAAGGCCTATAAAGAAGAGACATTGAGTTCTTACTGAAGGAAAAGAAGGAACCAGCCAGGCTAAGTGCTAGATAAAAACATTTTACACAGAGGCCTAACAGCCAGGATGGAATTGCTACACTTTAGGTATAGACAGAAGGCAAGCGTCGCTGGAACACAATGATCAAAACAGATCACCTTAGAAAGCTCAGTAAGAAAGATCACATAGGGCTCTTCAGACCACATGTCTGGATGTTATCCTGAGCTGAAGTCCCTGGAGAGTTCAAGCAGGAGAGTCGCAGGGCCTAATTTACTTCTTAAAAGGAATAATGTGGCAACTGGGTAGAGAATGGACTGGACTTTTACTTTCAGGAGCTGAGAGTGCAGTATGAAGGCCACTACAGTAGTTCGGACAGAAAAATGAGGCTTGAATTACAGCGATATAGTGAGAAGTGGATGGATTTGGAATATCTTTTAAAACTAGAATTGTAAAGACTTTTTGTTACATTAGATGTAGGGCTAAGAAAATAAGAGGACTCAGTAATAACTTCCAGGCTTTTGACTTGAGCTACTGGGTTGATAGTAATACTGTGTACTAAGATGAGAAAGAACCAATATTTTGCTTTTGGTGTGTGTGTGTGTGGGGGGGAGGGGGATTGTTGTAGGAACAGAATTTATTCCACTTTGGATGTGTATATTTAACATACTTACTAGGTCTTCAGATGGAGATTCCAGGTAGGCAATTGGATGTACAAATTTGCCACTCAGGGGATAGGTCGAGACTACAGATAATGAGTCATTAACATATAAATAGTATTTAAAGCCACGAGACTGGATGAGATCTCTTAGAAAGAAAAAGTATCAAGAAAAACAGAAGAGGTCTGACATTGAGTCCCCAAACCCTCTAATATTCAGAGATAGGACAAAAAGGACTAAGCGCAACCAGAGAGGTACAGAAAAGGTGGGGAAGTGTGTCTTGTCTTGGAAAATGAGAATGAAACTTTTAAGAGGCTGCAAGTATTCAGCTTTTGCTGAAACAATGAGAAAGATGAGGACAGAAAAAAATGAGCACTGGGTTTGTCAGCATGAAGGTCAGTGAGTAGTAACCTTGCTGAGGGGAGCTTCAGGAGAATGGTGGGGAAAGAAGCCTGACTGGAGCGGGTTAAGGAAAGGAAGGCATGTGAGCAAGTGGTCAATGAGCAGTTTTGCTGAGAACGATAAGAGGGGCAGAAAAATGTAGTTCCATTTGGTCATGAGAAGTCCCCTTTCTCAAATAAAGGGTGTCCTAGGGCATGTTTAACTGCTGGTGGGGATGAGCCAACGAGTGATATAAATGCAGTGATGCAAGTCCGGGGATATCTGCAGAAGTAAAGTCCTTCCAAAGGCAAGAGAAGATGGAATGTGATCATTAATATAGGAAAAGGAGTTGATTGTGTCCATTTTTTCCATTGTCACAGGAGGAAGAGAACATTCATATTGAACCCTTAGTTATATGCTAGTTGCAGAATTCACGGGGCAACGAGATGGGTAAAGGTCTTGCTCCACTGGAACTTGTATTCCAGTGAGGGAACAAACCCAAACAAGTCAATAAACAAAGAAGAATGTTCATATGATGATAGGTACTCTTTGGGAATAGAACATGGTTATGTGATACACAGGGACCTTGGGGACGACTGCTTTACGTAAGAGTCAGAGAAGGGTAAAGGGGATGCTGAGATCTGAATGCCCAGAAGGAGACAGTCAAGATGATCTGTAGGAAGAGCATTTCAACAGACGGAAAACCTAGTGCAAAGGCTAAACAAATGCGAATGTGTTAAAGGAATGGAAAGAAAGTCTGTGGCTGGAGTAGAGGAAGTGAGGGGGCAGGATAAATTTCACAGAGGCAGAGGCCTGTAGTCAAGGATAAGGGGCATTAATTTTGTTCTAATGTGAGGGGAAACCCTTGGCAGGTTTTAAGTAACAGAGCAAAAAGGATCTGATCTCTAATGGAGGACGATGATTAGAAAATAAGGGAATTCCTACTTGAGGATTTTGGCAAGAGTGAACTTTAACAGTGTAGGAAATTTGAATCATCTTATGTAAACAGACAGAAGAAAGAAGTGGAGAAATACTCTAAGAAGGAAATTTGCTTCCCATATAACTGCTCATAGCAGTGTGCCCTATAGAAACTTGCTTCAGAATTTTCCAGAGTGCTTGTTACACCTCAGCTTCCTGGCCACAACCCAAACCTATAAATCTCTGGAGGGTGAGGTGGAACCAAGGAACCTGCATTTTAAAACAGCACCTAAAGAGTTTTTTAAGCATGTTCAAGGACAGAAACTGGCCAGGAGCCAAGGGATAGTCTGGGAGGGTACGCAGTAGGAGCAAAAGTCAGGATGGAGGCATGGACAAGGCATGAACAAAACCATGGGATGACAGTCAGGAAAGACAATGGTACATTAATGATAGGAAGAATGGGGAATTTGGAGGAGCATGCTTAGTTTATATTGAATTACAAATGGCTTGAAAGGCTGAAGACATTTGACTTTTTTTTTTTTTTATCCCACAGGCAGTAGAAAACCCTTTTAGATTTTTGAGCAAGGGAAAGGAATAATGAAAAAAAAATAGTTTCAAAATTTTAATTTTCACTATTGGAAAGGCTAAAGACTGACATCAAAGTGACCTGTAAGAGAGAAGGTTATTACATGGGTAATATAATATGGGTGTTAGAATGATAATACAAACAACAGAAGCACATTAGCTAAAACATTTGGCAGGTAGATAGACCTGATCTTCCATGTGACTGATGTGGCATAGAGGATGGTTCTGCTCTGGTCCTATGAGGGGACGCTCTAGCATACTTGGAAGAAACAAGAATTGGCAGGGCTGGTGAAGAATTTGATGTTCAATTGATAATAGCTCTTGGAAACTTAGAAATAGGAATGCAAGAATGGTGAAAAGTCAGGTGTGCAACTGTGCCACAGAGAGGTGTTAGAGAAAGTTTTGAATGTGCATTCAAAGGAAGTTAATGTATAGGAGACAAAGAAATGAAGATAATGGCTTGAGGAAATAACCAATTAAGAGTCAGGAAAAAGTTAAATGTCAGGAAGCAGACAAAATAAATTGCAATAGAACCAATTTATGTAGTTGCCCTTAACAAACTGGAGGTGGTTAAGCTTAAATGCTGGCTCCATAAAAACATGTCTATACAGCAGTTTTGTTACTGATATCTAGTAGTAACAACTAACACCTAACCCTCATTTGCCAGTTTCATCTGCTATTCAGAACAGCTCAGTAAGGTGGTAGGGCAATTCATCACTAGCATCATTTCACAAATGAAGAAACAGAGGATCAGGGAGCTAAATGATTTGCCCAAAGTCACCCAGTTATTGATGTCTGCATACAGTCAACTTCTTAATAAACTAGGAATTCACTGTGCCCTGCAGGTAATTAGCAAGTTAGAGCAATCTGATCTCCAGGAGACTCTAATCTTAACGAATGACAATATTTCTTTAAAAATCATGCCTGTCTCAGGGGAGATGGTGAGGGGTGAGTGTGGTTACAATAAACGTTCAATGAGACCTTCTGGCACCCTCACCATTCCAGAAGGTAAATAACACGAAGACAACTGTAGTTTTAATTCATGTTTCAAGTTTTCTAAATAAACTCCAGGAGTTTGTCCTTGAGGATATCTTTACCAACATTACAACCAGTCAAAAAAAAAAGGGGGGGGGGCGGGTGGGTGGGTTGGGGGAGAACCATGTCTGGAAACCAGACATTCTTAGGGATCTGCGGCTTTTGCAGCACAGGTGCGAGTTCAGCGGGTGCAAAAAACTTCCGCGCCTAGCGGAGCGTGCTGCGTCGCCATGGTGAGCGCCAGCCGACCTCCGGTTCAAGAGAGAGGAGCACCTGCTGAGACTAGGGGCGGTGAGCCAGGGGCACAGAGTGCAAGCTGCCGGCCTCACCATAGATCATGCAGTGCCCCTCTGCGGTGCAACCCTCAGTTCTGGTGGTCCCAGCCCTCGGGACCTGGAATGAGGACCTTCAGGTCCAAGAGATAATGGGGGTCCCCCAAAGAAAGCGGGAGGCAGGCAAGCGTCCGGCACTGCCCCCACCTTCTCGCTTTTGACTCTGCTTTGCATCGCGGCACAGAGATCGTCCCTGACCCAGACAGTCGCATCCCTACCTCCATGCTCCCCCTCCCAGCTCACCGAGGACCCCTGGCGTGACGAGAGCCAAGAAAACCCAGAGCAGGCCCGCGGCGCCCATGCCACGGCGGCAGCCCCAGCGGCAGGATGCGGTCCGAGACCCGCGAGCCTCTGGTGGCTCCGGGAGGGTAGGGCTGGAACAGGAGGCAGCTGCAAGCAAGGGAAGGTGGGCTCTTAAATAGTGTGTGGCACCACGTGCTAGCTTTGCGCGCACACCTGCAGGCTGTGTGGAGGCGGGACGCCCGTGCCTTGAGGGTGGGGCTGGCGAGGAGGGACAGACCAGAGGGGCGGGCGGACCCAGGAACTCCGATCCTACTCGTTAGCTCAAACTCCAGCCTTCGGTACCAAGGCTTTCCAACTTTTTGATTGTGCAACTCAGTGCATCCACTTTTGCCTCTCTGGAGAAATAAAACAAGTTTCGCAAAATAGTAATCACTCTTATTAATTTACAATGATCTAGTCCATCCTTTCCTTTAAAAAAAAAAAGTTTCTTTTTTTTTGGCTTGGATCCACTAAATTCATTTCAAAAGCTTTTAGTAATTCTAACACTTGGGTTGAAACAGCAGTTTACTCAGAAACGAAACGTATGAACAACAGCAACCTCTATTACCTCCTTTTTTATTTTGAAATAGTTTCTACAAAAAAGTGGCAAAAATAGTACAAAGAACTTTATATGTGTGTGTGTGTGTGTACATATATAACATATAATATATAATTACATATATAATTATATATATAATTACATACAATTCTCCAAATATTAACCTTTTACTGTTTCTTTTATCATTCTCTATCTCTGTCTCTCTCACTTTGGATGGATGGATAGATGATGGATGATAGATAAAGAATAATATAGGTCGATATAGTGTTATATATATGGATATAATATATATAGAGAGACAGATAACTGCATATATAATTATGTAATTATATAATTGTTACTTTGGAACTGTTTGAGATAAGTGACAGGCATGACACCCCTACTCCAAATACTTCAGTGTGTATTTCTTAAAAACAAGAACATTCTCTTACATAATTACAACGCAATGAGCAAAACTGGAAAATTAATATTGATACAGTACTATTATCTAAGGGAGAGATTGTACTTAAATTTTTCCAATCATCTCGATAATGTTTATTATAGCAAGTACACACACACATGCTTTTTTTTCTGGTATACAATCATTCTAAGATTGCACTTAACTTATTTTTTTTAATCTCATTCAATCTGAAAAAGGTCTTCAGGATTTTGTTTTGTCTTTCATGACCTTGACATTTTATCTATTGTTTTAGAGAGAGAGGAGGGAAAAAGGAGAGAGAGATGGAAACATCGATGAGACAGAACATCGATTGGGCATCTCCTGCATGCCCTCCACTGGGGATTTGGTTTACAACTTGGGCATGTGCCCTGACCAGGAATCAAACTGGTGACCTCTGGGTGCATGATTTGATGCTCAACCACTGAACCACACCGGCCAAGCGTGACCTTGACATTTTAAAAGAGTACACATCAATTATTTTGGTAGAATGACTTTTAAATTAGTTATTTATTGCATAGCAACAAATTACCCTAAACTTATTGATTTTAAGCAAGAATAAAGTCATTGTCTCACATAGATTCTGTGTGTCAGGAATTTGAGAGCAGCTTAGCAAGGTGGTTCTGGCTTGGGATTTCTCATGAGGTTACAGTCAAGGCCAAAACTGCAGTCATCTGAAGGCCTGACTGGGACTGGAGGATCCTCATCTAACATGGCTCAGTCACATGGCTTTTGGCTGGAGGTTGCATATCCTCACCATGTGGACCTCATCATAGGACTATATAAGTATCCTTGTGACATGGTGACTGGTTCTGTTCTTCTCCCATAACAAGAGAGTAAATCAGAAGCTACAGTGTCTTTTTTAAAATTTTAATTTAATGTTTTTTCTTTCAGTTTTTTTCTTCCAATTTTTATTAATTTATTTTTGTTATAGATGTTTCTCCCTTTTCCCGTCTAGATACCCTTCTCCTGATCCTGTCCCCCTCCCCGGCATTATTGTCTATGTACATTGGTTACACATGCATGTATATAAGTAAAATCTATCCTCAGGAGTCACACTATATGATTTCCATAATATCCTATTGGATACTATGAGATTAATTTTATATGCCCAGATATATGGTCAAACATTATTCTGAGTCTTTCTGTAAGAGTGCTTTTGGGTGAGATTAACATTTTTTATAGTGGTAACTGACACTTATTTTTATTTTTCCCATTTCCCCCCTGGTTTTACTGAGATATAATTGACATACAATATTGTATTAGTTTAAGGTACATATGTATTTATTGTGAAATGATTACCACAGAAAGGTTAGTTAACTACTATCACCTACATAGCTATAATTTCTTATGATGAGAACTTTTAAGATCTATTCTTTTAGTAACTTTCAAATATACAATAGAGTATTGTTAACTACAGTCACCATGCTATACATTACACCCCCAGAACTTATTTGTTTTCTAACAGGAGGTTTGTGCCTTTTCACCATCTTGACCCTGTTCCCCCACTTCTTGTCCCCCATCTTTGGCGACAACCAACTTGCTTCTGTTTCTGTGTTCAGTTTTGTTAGATTCCACATATAAATGAGATCATCTAGTATTTTTCTTTCCCTATGTGATTTATTTCATTCACTTCACATAATGCCCTCAAGGTCCAACTAGGTTTTCACAAATGGCAATATTTCATTCTTTTTAATGCCTGAATAACATTCCTGGGTGTGTGTGACATTTTCTTTATTCATTTATCCATATATTCAGGATAGTGATTTCTTTTCCTTTGGATACATACCCGGAAGTGGAGTTGCTGAGTCAGATGGTAGTTCTATTTTTAATTTCTTGAGGAATTGCCATACTGTTTTCCTAGTGGCTGCACCAATTTACATTCCCACCAAAACAACCCTTTCAGGGTTCCCTTTTATCCACATCCCCTCCAAAACTTGTTATCTCTTGTTTTTTAGGTCATAGCTATTCTAATAGGTGTAGGTGACATGTCACTGTGGTTTTGATTTACATTTTCCTGATAATTAGTGATGTTGAGTACCTTTTTAAAATTTAATGTAGTCACATTTATTTATTTTTGCTTATGTTGCACAACTTTTGGTGTCAAATAAAAAAAAGTAAATGAATGCCAAGACCAATGTCAAGGAGCTTACCTCCTATATATTCTTCTGAGAGTTTTGTGGTCTCAGGTCTTAGGTTCAATCTTAATTCACTTTTAGTTGATTTGTGTGTATGGTGTAAGATAGGGGACCAGTTTCATTCTTTTGTGTGTGGCTGTCAAGTTTGTCCAACACCATTTATTGTATTGTGTATTCTTGGATTCTTTGTCATAACTTAATTGATCATATATGTATGGGTATATTTCTGGGTGCTCTATTGTATTCCATTGATCTATTTTTCTGTGTTTATGCAAATACCATACTGTTTTGACTTTTCTAGCTTTGTACTATAGTTCAAAATCAGGAATTGTGATGCCTTCACCTTTGTTCTTCTTTTTCAAGATTGCATTGTCTACTTGTAGTCTTTGTGGTTCCACACAAATTTTAGGACTTTTTTTCAATATATGTGAAACATGTCATTTTGATAGAGATTACTTTAGAGATGTAGATTGCATTGGTAGTATGGGCATTATCACAATATCAATTCTTTCCATCTGTGAGCATAGATATCTTTCTATTTTTGTGTCTTCTTCAATATCTTTTATTAATGTCTTATAGTTTTTAGTGTATAGATCTTTTACCTCCTTGGTTAAGTTTATAGATATTCAATTCAGTTGATGCAATTGTAAATAGTATTGTTTTCTCAATTTCTCTTTCTGATAGTTTGTTGTTAATATATAGAAATGCAAAAGATTTTTGTATCTTGAAACTTTACTGTTTATTCGTTCTAATAATTTTTTGTTAGAGTCTTTAGGGTTTCTATGTAGAAAATCATGTTATCTGCAAATAGACACCTTCTTTCCTTCTTTCTTTCTTTCTTTCTTTCTTTCTTTCTTTCTTTCTTTCTTTCTTTCTTTCTTTCTTTCTTTCTTTCTTTCTTTCTGATTTTAATGCTTTTTATCTCTTTTCCTTGACTGATTTGGGTGCTTCTTATCCTCCCACCCCAACCTTTGACTAATTACTATGTCCAGGACTTCCAGAACTGTCTTGAATAAAATGGCAAGAGTGGGCCTTCTTGGCTTGTTCCTGATCTTAAAGGTAAAGCTTTCAGCTTTTCATGTTTGAATATGATGTTAGTCATGGACTTGTCATGCATGACCTTTATTATGTTGAGAAACATTTCCTTTCTACCCAGTTTATTGAGTTTTATTATGAATAGATGTTAATTTTGTCAAATGCTGTTTGTACATCTATTCAGATGATCATATGATTTTATCCTTCATTTAGTTAGTGTGGTGTGCCACATTGATTGATTTGTGAATGTTGAACCATCCTTACATCCCTGGAACAAATCTCACTCGATCTTGGTATATGATACTTTTAATGTATTGTTGAATTTTATTTGATAATATTTTGTTAAGGATTTTTAAATCAAATGAGAGATGTTGTCCTGTAATGTACTTTTCTTGTAGCATTCTCCTCTGTTTTTTGTCTGAGGGTAATACTGGCCTTTTAAAATGAGTTTGGAAGTATTGCCTCCTCTTCTATTTTGGAAAAGTTCGAAAAAGACTGGAATTATTTCTTCTTTAAATATGTGGTAGAGTTCACCAGTGAAGCCATGTGGTCCTGGATGTTTCTCGGTTGGGAGGTTTTTTAAAAAAATTATTAATTCAATATCCTTACTAGTAACTGGTCTGTTAATATTTAATTTTTTGCCCTGGCCAGTTTTTCTCAGTGGTTAGAGCATCATCTCATGGATCAGAGAGGCCTGAGTTTGGTTCCCTCTAAGGGCATGTACCTCAGTTGCAGTTTGTCCTCGGCCCTAGTTGTGGTTGTGTGGGTGGCAGCCCCTTGATGTGTCTCTCTCATGTCAATGTTTCTGATGTTTCGCTCTCTCTCTCTCTTCCTCCCTCTCTCCCTCCCACTCTATCTGAAGATAAATGCAAAAATG